CCACAAAATTCCGTCCCGAATTGGCAAGTTATGGAGCAAGTCTTCCACGAGCAATTCTATCGACCGGAGCCAGAAGTCTCAATGGCCGACTTGGCAAAGATAAGCCAGAAGCCAAGTGAGTCAGTCCAAGAATATTTGGGGCGATTTAGAGAAGCAAGGGCTAGGTGCACGGTCAATATGCTGGAGCACGAGTTTGTAAAATTGGCCCAAGGAGGATTGTTGCTTGACCTCCGAAAGAAATTCGAAGGAATTGAGTTCTGCGACATTTATGATCTCTTACTTCAGGTGGATCGATACGAAGCCCTTCTAAAGGAGGAGCAACAAAAAGGGCGGCCAGCACCCCGGCCGACATTTTATAGGGATTCAACCAAACCTTCCGGGTCTAGGACTATGGCGGTCCACGTGGTAGACATTGGAGATATAGACTCAGAAGAAAGAGATGATGAAATTTACTTAGAGGAAGAAGAGTCAGTCGAGGTAAACTTGGCCGAGATTATGGCCAAAAGGCCATATGTGTGCAAGACTTTGTCTAAAGCCTCTAAGGATCAAGGCCGACCACGGCCCAAATGTCCAAGTTTAGTGGAACCTCCCAAAAGGCGATCGTGACAGACTAAGTCCTACACATTTGATATTTCTAAAGCCGAACAAATTTTCGACCAACTTTTGAAAGAAAAGATCATAAAATTATCTAATGATCATGATATTCCGTCGGCTAACGAACTTAGAAATAAAACTTATTGCAAGTTTCACAATGTGTGGTCTCATACGACTAACAATTGTTTGGTTTTTCGGAATGCCGTGCAGGATCTCATCGATCGGAAAATCTTGAAGTTTCCGGAGAAAGCTACAATGGGTGTCGACCAGAATCCTTTCCCAAATGCTCAAGTCGACATGGTGAATGCTAACCTAGTCCAGACCAACCTAGGCCTAGGTTGGACTTGGGTGGCTCAGCAAGGGCTGCGGCAGAAAGAAGGGCAAGGGAAATTCCGGCGGATCCTAAGGTGAAGGGCAAGGCTAAAATGTACCCTGAGGTGGCCAAGGTTCCCGAGACAAAAGTTTTGACCAAGGAAGAACCTCCAAAGGCCATTGTGCTATGTAGTCGATGCCAATGTGAGGTGACTCTCGAAGTGGTTTCGCCAAAGCCCAAGGGGCCAACCAAAGAACCCACCAAAGGGCTGATTAAGGAGCAAACCAAGGATCAAGTCCAAGTGGGCAGATCTAGGAGTTTTGAAAAGAAGATGATAACAAGTCCGGCCGAGAATTATGGCCCACATAGCCCAAGAGGCGAAATGGAAGTTAGGTCGAACAAACGGCCATTGCATGAGTATCAAGATAGGTACGAGAGGCCGAGCTATCAGCCGAAGAGGAGAAATCAACATGCCCCTCTAAGATATGAAGACATTGATTCGCCCGATTCAGCCAAAACCGAAGCATGTGGATTTCAGTAGGATAAGGCAAAAGCTGAGATGTGGCATATGTATCAAGACCCCGCCCCGCGGACGGTAGTAGTGTCCCAACTTTCAAGGTGCCAAACACAAAGGCGGGCCAATGGTATAGAAGCAGGGGCCCAAAACTCCCGCCTATACCTTTGAGCAAGACTCAAACGAGAAGGGCTCAAAGGCAATATGCCACCACTTGTAAGGCAGAGTTAGATTGGGCGGATAAAATGCAAGCCCAACTTGACCAATTGGTCGAGCTTCGTGAGAAACTTCGATTGGAGGAGTTCGAGTTGGCCAAGGCCGATGCTATCGCTTCTTTGGAGGCAGCCGCAGCTGAGGAGATGAAAATACGTCGAGAATGGGTGAATGGCCAAGTTGTAGTAACGGCCTCGGAAAAGCCAATCTCGGAATTGGAGGCCCATTTGACTGGGACTTTTGAGGCAAATAACTCTAAAGTGGAAGTTAGTGAACCGACCAAGATGAGAGGAGATAAACCTCTCAAGGTTCAAAAGGCAAGGGCAGCTCCACCAAAAGCCAAGCCTCTGGTCGCCAAGGCCCCAACCATGACCAAAGTGGCTCAGCCCACCAAGGTTGAGAGTAAAGAAGAAAATGACCAAAACATGGTCCAAGAAGCTGGGGATGTGCCCCATAAAATAGTAAGCGAGCCTAGGGCCGAAGAAGACCAAGTTATGGTCGACGTTGAAACTAATATGGTAGAAGAAGAGGCCGAGCACACGGCTGAGGAAGAAGCTAAGAAGCCATTAGAAAATCTCAAAGGTTCGGCGGCCGAAGACGAAGAGATATATGGGGAAGATGAGGAGTATGCGGATGACGAATACTTAGAGGATCTGTCGGAGGAAGCTATGGAACACTTAGAGAAAGAACGGAATGAAGAGATAGCTACGTTTGAGAATGAGCTAAAAGTGGCCAAGGTCAAAGTAAAGTTTGGAGACTTTGACGAGGTAAATGCCATGGTTGTTACACTCCCACTATTTTTTGAAGCTCGGCTGGATCAGCCTAATTTTATGGACGGAGATGTGTTCGATGAGGTTGAGTCCATGGTCCAAATGGAAGGGGCCAAAGAAATTGAGATGGCCCAAGAAACTCCAAAGGAAGGGAATGCATGTTCCCCTCTTTTCGGCCGGGGCGGCTGAGGGAAAGAACTTTTGGTCCTTCTTCTTTTGGATGCGGGGCGTGCCACCACCAAGCCCCGAAATTGGGCTTGAATGGAATGAGAATAGATGGATGTGTTGTGCTTTTAACTTCTGACCAAACGATTGATCAGCCGAGCAAGGAACCTCTTTTTAGCCTAGATTCTTTCACTTTCTCGGGCTCGAGAATGGTTAGGTTTCATACAGATATTTTTGTGATTTTTATGGTTTAAGTAAAAATAATGCAATTAAACTAAATATGCGTATAAACGTAAAGACAATAATTGAAATGCGATAAAATAAATCAAAGAGATAGATAAAGCAAGAATGAAATAAAAGCGATAAGAACGAAAATGAAATAAACTTGAAATTAAATTTAATTGAAGTGCGATAACAATTAAATGTAAAGGTATCGAAATAAACTTGAATTGAAATGATAAGAAATATAAACCGAACAAGAATTTAAATGACAGG